ACTGGGACTTCATATAGGGTTTGAGTGGCTTTTTTACTGCCAGGAATATACAGAAAATAAAAAGTGTTTTAATGTCACCATGTATATACTGAAGGATTTGATTACTGTAGGGTTTTCTTTCCACAATGCTGACCATATAAAACAATATATGAAAGAATCTGAATACATGAAACTATTACAACCCTACATACCGTAAAAGAAAAAGATATGCCAACAAGTTTAACATTGATTCCTTTTCAAAATAAGTAGTTACAAATAGTTATTAACAAACACTACAAACTGACATACAAATTCTCAAAGTATTCATAGAGTTATTTATCAAATGTTCTATTGCACAAGAAACAAATGAGTTACAGCAGTTGTTTCAGCTATGCAGCAGTATATGAAAAATTCATATCATACAGGAAATTAAAACCAGTTTTGGTTCATCAAGTATTTCGCCCAGCACTAAGTTACTATAATCAGTATATTATCAGCAGCAAGCTTAGAGAGACACTTGAAAGCAAAATATTTTTATCACTATCAACAAAACCACTCTGATGTTTTTTTGTCAATGATGATTAGTTGATTTACCTTGATTCTCCACTACTGTTGCTTACACTTTCATCTTCACTGCGTCCAGCCATGTTGAAGTCCAAAAATATAGACTTCGCCCTGACAACCTGTAGTATGTCGTTACACGTGGTTAACCTACAAGAGAAGATACACGGTAACATTAGAAACTGAGTCTGGGAAAAAACAGGACTGTGCCTTCATCAAAGCTGACTAGGTATGGGACAATATTAAAAGTTCACGTCGCGATTATCTTGGCCAAAATAACTAAATATATACTTCAAACTTTTAAAATGGCACTGAAACATACTGAGTCAATATAACTTACATTTTGTTAGGAAACACATTTATTTATTGCATCACAGATAAACCCTTTTGGAATCTATACTATTTCCACACATCACTTTTTTGTGGCCTTCAGTAAGGGTGACAGGATTAGGATTTTGAAATTACTGGAAAGATGTGGGCCCTATATTTTCCCCTTGTTCAAAATAAATCAAGAAATCAAGATAGAACTCTATGCTGGAGAGTTAGACAGCTTTTTCAAGTTATCTGAGGATATTCACGATTTTCAAAATAAATTGATCTAAGTGTTTTTGATTGTGATACACGATAATATTTATGGTATCTAGCTGAATAATTTCAGTAACATTGTGCTTTGCCAGCAGTATGTATGAATTTGCTCTGATAAAGCTGTGCTTGAAATTTGGCACATGGCAAAAAAAAAAAAAAAAAAAAAAAAAAAAAAAAGAATACAGGTAGTACAAATCCTCCTGTTTACAAAGTAAAATGTATCTGCAGCTCAGCACATTATCCCTGACCAACCACAGCCCCTGCATCAAAGTTTGACCAATGAACTGTCCTTGTGGAGCTGTCAATACAGCTTCACACCAGACTTTTTTTAAATGTGAACATTTCCGAAGTCGTTTATACTCTGCGTTTTAGTTCTGCTAGAGGTTAACTGTATGTGTACAGCACACCAAAACACCTTTTTAAAGAAATATATCAAGTTAAAAACAGAGCAGATGGAGCTCTGCGGATGGCTGTAGCTAATGTTACAGGTTAGCTGTGTTTGTTCCCTCAGCACAGAGGCCTATCAGGCCTGCGCAGCAGCAGCGTGTTTTCTCGTCCACACAAAGCTCTGTGGGCGCATTAACCACATTAACCTCAGCCAAGGCCGAAAAACCTACTACAGTAAACGCTCTTATTCCAACCTTGGTGTCATCTATTCGGGGTGCCATTTAGTCTTTGTGTGGCTACTTGTAGCTAACGAGCTAACACCGGCTAATGACGCCAGTGTTAGCTCTTGGCGGGGTATGTTAGCAGTAACGTTAATGTATGCAGACACGGCCAACGCGCCAGCCAGTATTCTATCTCCACATTTAAACGGAGAACAATATCCTACAGCAATCGGCACTACCACCAGCTATTAATGCTAATCACTTTAATGCTGCAGTACAATTGCTATCCCATATGTATAACCAATTACTGTTTGCTAGCTCTTATGTTTTATGCTAGTGTTATGATTTTCCAGGTTTGAAAATCATAAAACTTGCCAAACATTAAAATCAACAGTTAATTCCACAAAGTGTAGCGCAACCATGCGTGTCATGTGTTAAATGCCGTTATTTTATTGTATTTTTATCATCGACGTGGTCCACTAAAGATGTAGTGAGATGGATGAGAGCCCAGCGTTTACTGGGGTTGTCAAGGGAAGTGGCGTTAGCTAACGTTGTGCAGCACGAGGCTAGCACGAACGCTAACAAAATGACAAAACTTTGCGCTAGTTCATCTTAGCAGGGAACCGCTGGAATGTTCACTTTCCAGTTATAACCGACAATTGGCGTTTCACTGTCAACGATATTTAACTATGCAAATGTCTGTGTGGACCACACTAGGGTGCTATACTTATTTTGTATTCATCATTAAACCCACAAACCCAAATTAGCTAACCTAACTTCACCCTCTTCCATCTTGTTTTCATTCGCCGCTCACTTCTCGCGGCTTTTACTACATCAACATGCAAGTTAGCTTACTTTCTCACTGAACTATGGGATAAGTAACTCCACACTGTACGTTACCTGGTGTTATTTAATGTCGCCTGGGAAAGTCCAATAAAACAGTTATCTAAATCCGCCTTTCCACTTCAGGGGTCCTTTCTTCTTTTATTTAACTACTAAGCTAGCAGCCGCTGATAGCTAGCGCTACCTTACGCTAGCTAGCTAGCTAGCTAGCTATCTCCCAGTTAGGGAGAGCAGCCCCGAACGACTCAGTTCGGTAGAACTGGTGCAATATTGGTTTCCCTCTCCCTCCAAAAATCAAGTAAGTTCCCGTTCCCGTTTTAGATGTAAGCAAAGTCTGGTGCTCGTCGGTCAACTGCGATTGTAGAAAGCTGGCATCTCAATCCAGGGTCTTCCGACAACCGGCCTCCGCCATGACGCCGTAGGGTTCACTTCTCTAGGAAACCCCGGACAGTGACGTAACGACCGTGCTCCTCTATACGGTGTAACAGCAGCACACATCTGGTAGCGGCCAGCCTATTTTTAGACAAGAAATACTTCATTCAGAACAAATGGAGTCTACGTTACACACTGATATGTCAACTTAAATCCCAACAACAGAGCTATGAGATGTGAAGGCTGCGAATGGGGGTCAGGAGCGGATCTAGAGAAATATTCATGTGGTGTCCAGAGGGTGGCATGGAGATTTTATTCCCAACTTGTTAAGGGACCCTTTTCTATCATTTAGTTAATTGACGACCCCTGACACATGGATATTCCATATTATATTCATATCTATCTATCTATCTATCTATCTATCTATCTATCTATCTATCTGCAAAAAATAGCAAATGAAATTCAAAGATTAAAGTGCTAAACAAAATGTCATAGGCTGAATCAGATCAAAGTAACTGTTGCAAGACATGACAGTGAATCTGCAATCAGCAACCTCTAACACCACAGGTGAGCCTCATCAAAGTGCAAAAGAATGACACTCAAAAAAAGGTCTAACAACTGTAGCTTTAAATAAAAAGACAGATATTTTTTGGCATCCCAGAGACCTGGCTTAAAAATGGTATCATGCTTGAATGAAGACTGTTCTGAATAGAAACAGAGAAAGGAAAATAATCTGGAGAGCAAAAAGTATCAAGAGAACAACATTATTAGATTTAACAGTTTGAAGTCAATGAAACACGATGGTAGAAACACTACCACTTTTGTCCACAGGGGCCTTAAGATGGTTCCTTGTAGGAGCTTCAAGTATGGGGAATGATTATAAAGGTGAGCAGAATTAGACAGGAAATGAATCTTCGAGTGTTACAAAAAGGGAGAGAACTTGAGAATACAGAGAAGGAAGCAATGTTAGCCAAGAACTCCTCAGTTCAGATAATTTACTAAAGGAAGGGAAGATTAGATAGCAACAAATGTTTGTATATAAGAAAAGAAATGTGACTCAGAGTACTCTTGATGTACCTGGAAAAAATTATGTAGGCCTATGCTATAATGTTATCCACTGAAGTGAGTTTGCATTGGCACGGTTATTGTAACTGTAAAATAAGATCTGGAAGGAAGGCTAGCTCCCAGTAGTGTGGAAAGAAGCTGTTCCTTTTCCTTGTTCCAGTCAGAATAATTATAGGCCTAGCTTTGACATTACATATATATGCAAGACCATAGAAAAGACCTGAAAGATACTATACAGAAAATGAGAAAAATGAGAGCACAGTACTCTGTTGATATGTCTGGTGTCTGACATTAGGAAATCCCAAGCAAAGAGAGAAAGACAGACAGCGACACACAGCAATAACAATAGCATTCTGGGCTACTGTAGAAACACGGCGATTCAACATGCTCTCCCTAAAAGAGGACCCGTTCCCTTTGTAGATAAAAACGTCTCAATCTAAGGTAACAAAAACACAATGATTCTTATATTTAGATGATTATACACTAAACATACCTATGACTATTATATTCCATTTCTGACTATAGATCCTTTAAAGTACTGAAAAAATGAAACCCCTCAAGGTCAGTCCAGATAAGAAGTCATTTATGGCAGATGATGAGGCAATTTACCCCAGAACAGAAGGTTCCTTCCCTGGCTAATCACCCCTTTTCCCGCCCCCTCCAGAAAAGGAATGAAAAAAAGGACCAGAAAAGAGGGATATTGAATATATAACAATAAAATTGAATATATTTCTCAGAAAGTCCAGCACGCAATTACTAAAGTAGACATCTCCTCTCTGATGAGGAGATTTAAATCGTCTGTAAAAAAAAATCTGCTTTATGAGAAAGGAAATATATTTGTTGGTTGTCAGTACTTCTGGTGGAAGCTGGAGAATGCCTCTTAAGAAGGAAAGAATTAATGGTCAATTATTGGGCAAATCTGAATAGCCAAAAAGATTTACAGCCTACATTTTTAATGTTAAACATGCGTTGGTAAAGGAGCAAAATCAAAAACATGTAACTAAGGAATTAGGAAACGGTGGTTACTACTAATTACTTTAATATTAAGTGTTGATAAAAGTATCATAAAGATGTTTATTGAGACATTTATAAGCACATAAAGTAACTAGTTAGCAGTTTATAGTATCCCCCAAAAGCATAGTTAACTGCTATTAAAAGTATAATAAAGAATATAGAAATCTTAACTTAAAGTGACAACTAAAGTTTAGTAAGGGTTTAACAAGGACTCACTGTCTAAAGATATAGTTACTCTAGATGGCATTACCTTGGCCTCTAGCACCACTGTCAGGAATC